TTAACTCGGTTTTCCTGGGTCTTTTCACATGTGTTATAAATAAATCTTCGACATCCGCGACACCTTAAAGGCCGGTCCGTGAAAATATTGTCGGGCATAAACCGGTCCATGGCGCAAAAAAGGTTGGGGGCCGCTGCTCTAGTCCAATAACCGGTCTCTTGGAGCCATCCAAATTGAAAAGCACAAGTGCATCTAATGCACATGGCTCTCTACTCTCATTTCCCTTCACAAATTCCATTCCACCTTTTTAATGCCTTCATTTGTCTTTTGGCTTCTCTTTCCATCTGTCTCATTCTTTTCCATCTTCTTGTTATTCTTCGTCCTTCCTTTCTTCCCCAATATTTCAGCGGAAATTTGGCCACCATAATAATAGAATCTATTTGACTGCAATCACTCACCACTACCTCAGCTTTCCTTGTTCATTTTTACCAAGAAAGGTCAAGTACTCTTTAGGTAACTATGATCTGACCTGCAAACCCAATAGGCAGGATCCAGGTCAGTGTTCTCACACTATGTGCACTCTTTCTTTCTCAGACACTGCAAAGGCAGTGGCAAACAAGATAAGAAGTGTCACTGTGTTTCCTTTTTCCACAGTTTCGTTCTTCCTGGTGGGACTACAAATCTAAGACCCTTCTGGTTCTTATGCACCATTTCTTTAGAAAAAAACCCAGACATTAAAACCCCAGAATAAGACATTTGCAATGTCTCTTATTCATTTTTTGACATGACCTATTTGAACCTGTCTTTTGTGTTTACCACCAGCTGCAATCTTGTAAGCTGTTTAGAGCTACAAAATCCAAATTTTGGCAACACTAAGTATTGCTGATTCTGGCCAAGTAAGCAGCAGTCATAATGATAACTAAAATTCATTTAAGATTATGTGTTTGATTTTTTTTTTCTTTTAATATCTATGATCATAGCAATCCCTCTGCACTATATTGGCACTATAGTTAATTATCTATTATAAAAACATTTTTAGTGGGTGTCAGTTCATTTAGTTACTCAGGAGACACTTTTACATTAGATAGAAAAACTTATCTGCCTGAAATATCAGCCCAGTCTTGTATCCGAAGTGCATAAGGGGTCACTGAATACATTGGTATATATAAAACTAATGTGAATCATACACTGTGCCAAGCTGCAGTAACTTTTAGTATCTGTTCTAAGAAGAATATGATCTACTTCCAAGTTCTGATGGAAAATGGCTCAGCTTCATACGAACCAACCACACTGTGTCATTTAATTTGCTAGCCATCCATGCATTTATATACATAAAATATAGTTGGGGGGGGGGGTTCTTCCTCTTTCCAACTGACCTCCATGCAGGACCTTTAAGGATTTTTCATATCACGTAACAGTAAACCTAAATGGTTGTTTCTTCCCTGCTTCTCTCTCTTCCTTCCTTCCTCTTTCGAACCCCCTTTCTCTCTCCTCTCCCATCCATCTTCACCTCCACTTTCATATATCTCTCTTCCTTTTTCCCCCCCAGTAGCCTGGGCTAATTGTTACATCGTTCTAGCACTAAAGTTGCCCTGTGTAGGAAGCTTGGCTGATTGCCGCTGGGTCTAACGCAGCATGGGGGAAGGGGAATTGAACAAGCATTGGCCGTCAGAGCTGGTTAGCTTCACAGAGCTCCTGTCACAACTACACTCACAATGCAACCTGTTTACTACCCAAGCCCCCTGCAATTACCAGCTCCCCAGCAGGGGCCAAGCTAGCGCCTGGGGAGAACTAACACTATCAGCTGAAAGGGGGACTGAACAAGGAGGGAGGAGGGAGAGCCCCATTACGAGGCTGAGCCAGTGTTGTGGGTAAGCGACAAATTCTACAGGGACAAGCATGGTGCGAATATGTATGTGTGTGTGTGTCTGTAGATGTGTGTATTTGTGTGAGTGCACAGGTGAAATAATTTGGGAATTTGCACTGAAGGAGGCAGACATAATGCCCTGCAAACCAAGAAGGAAAAAAAAGAGATGAACTAAGCAAAAGAAAGGCAGGTAATGGATGCGTTACATTATAGGGTCTTCTCTTAAGATCAGCCTCTTTCTATTAGTCTATAAACCCACCATCAAAATGATTAAATCAATGAAGAAAGATACTAGTTATGCAGTAAGAAGCCATAACAAATGGATAAGGATTTTAAGATGCCAGGAAAGAATAAAAGTGGATAACAGTATTGATGTGTTGAGTATGTAGTTGCATTTCAATCAACCTGTCACCATGACCTGGCCCTTGACTCACTGGGACAGTGGGGCAGTGAAACAGGCAGCAGCACGGGACCCCTACAACACAATGCTGCATCTAAACAGTCAATGTTGGGCAATTTGGGGGGGGGGGGTAGTCTCAGGTTTTCTTTTAAAGAAAACAAAATTCATAAATATTTCTGAAATCATCAATAATATTTTTTTCTGAGTATTAGTGAGTAAATGATATCAACCTTTTTTGTGAGGTAATGTTGCAGTGCTGTTAACCTTAACATTTAAGGAGGCACAACAAAGTGTTTCCAGAAGCTGATACTAACTTTGGCTGCATGAGATAATATTTCAAAAGCATTTTTTTTCATAAAAATAGATGATGGAACATGGACCGAAGTCACATTTAAGTGGCCTTGGATCATGTTATTGTGCTCTTATCTCAACAAACATGTTAAGTGAATTTTATCAATTACTGTGGATGCACAAATAGCATGCAGTCCTGGCATTACATGGCTTTTCACAGTTGTTTTCTTTCTCCAGTTCAAGAATACATTTATTTTTATTTGACTGCAACAGATCTTAAAAATGTTGTACAGTGTTTCAGGTGGAGTGGACACTCTCAAAAATGTCTGTTACCTGCTTAAGCCTTGAAGCAGAACTGAAGTTAAATTTGAAGCAGAATTTTGCACCTTTGCCTAGTACCTTTTTTCAAGATACAGTATAATAAGTCCCATTGTAAAACTGAAGTCTGCAAGGACAGGTCAAAGAAGGTCTGAAAAGGAGAGGTCATCTCTGAATGATAAGCTGGTTGGCATTTGTGGCTGGCATTGGCAAGTTAGAGGATATTTAAAAAAGATCAAGAAACTTTAAGGGCATCTTAGACTAAGCAGCCAATAATGTGATTTTTTTCCCTCTCTTACCCTGTTTGAGTTCATGACATTTGTTAGTTGAGAAACATTGTGTTAGGGAGCCCGTACTGCCTGGACTAACTGTTATTAAACTCTTGATATGTGCCACAAACTTCACATTTCCCCAAGAGTATCTGACAAAAAACGCCTTTTCCCCTTCCTACCTTATTTACCTTCATTGGTGGAGTAAACTGTCCACTGTTGTCCCAGTGTGTCCTCTATAACCCAAGCCTATGGCTAATATCTCAATTAAATAATGTGTTGCGCATTGTTATCTACAGTATCCCAATGCTACAGGTCTGCTTGATCTATCACCCCTCCCCCTAATCCGACTTCATCCACCCACCTATAATTCATCAGATACTCTTGGAAGCCATTCCCACCTGAAATCTCATCATCCATCCAATCAGTCTTTCATCTTTCCTCTTGCAATCTTTCCATCTCTCCCCATCTTGATCTTTTCTAACGGTGGGAATAGCTGTAGTGAAAATCAGCTGTGGTCTTGAAGTGGAAGGAGCATTTTTTTTTTCTTTTTCTCCCTGCCCACTTACACTGCACATCTACACGGATGGACTTGATGGCAGCCACCCCCACCCCGTTGTCAGCCTTGCAGTAGTAGCGACCTCCCTGCACCCTCTGGATGCCCTCAATGCGTAGTGTCTCATTGTAGATGGATGTTTCCTGGAACTTGTCTGACGCACTGCCTGCTGTCTTCGTCCACCGTACCTGAAGAGAGTGGGGGAAGGGTGGAGATGTTAAGAAGACAAAAGTGCTGTCGAAGGCAGTGAGTTATGTTAAAGGACAGAATCAGTCAAGTGTAACAGAAAGATGTTGAGAAGGCAACAGAGCAAAGTTCTTCAAAAATGCACTTCTTTAAAAACATGGAAAACAAAAATGTAAACAAAAAAGCAGAAAAAGTCTCTGCGCCCAAAATTCTTGTGCAAGTACACATCTTATAAAAACACCAATAAAATAATAGCACGCAGTGGTGACACTAACAAACACTGGCAAAGCACAACAAGATAGTGTTCTTATCTGTCGATAGACAATTTGTAATGTTCACTAAATGCTAGCAACCCACTGAAGTAATAGTGCATTGCAAGTTTTAAGTGTGTACGACCCTCAGAAGGAAAAAAGACTGCATCACTGTCAGTAAATGAAGTTAATGTAAATATCTGTCTGATAGGTCAAACACTCATTTATCAGCATGATTTCTTTTAAAACAGTGATCTGAAAGTCCTTTC